CGCGGTCGCATGATATCGAGACAACTTGAATGCCTGACCCTTTGGCAATACCGGCAAGATTGGATCGCGAATGGGACGCGATTTCAAACAACACAAGAGCTCCAGGCTTCTGGTGTCGATACATGGCAGGCAATGCGAGAGGATCTTCGAGACCAGCCTCAGACGGTTCATAATCGGAGAGATGATCTCCGTCGGGACGGGCAGGAGGCCTAGGTAGCTGGAGCTCCTCGTAAGACAAGAACTCTTTGGGAACTGGGGTCTCGGGAGCTTTAGCTTCTCTACCGAACGCCTTCTCAAACCTCGCAATACACTCAGCATTGTGATTGCTTTTGTCGTTGTCGCAAGCATAGCACCCCGGTGTGGGACCTATCTTACGAAACCTAGCATACGTGATGTAAATCCTACGAAGCTTCTTCCTCTCACCCTGTTCTGTGAACACATGCGGCGTGAAAGGAATCGGAAGAGGTTCTTGAGCAGGCACCTCGCCTTCATCAGCAAATGTCAGCAATGCGTGCTCTGCGGCGTTGCGAAGGGGAAACACAGGGTCACCGGACCGAACATAAAGCTCAGCCTCGGGAACGCTGATCGGCTCAGTCCAAGCACCAATCTTGGAACGAAGCTTTTCTAAGTCAAGCACAAGGGTCACTGAACGATAGATGCCACCTGGTTCTAACCTCCACCCTGCGAACACGCCCGGAGCTGCGTTTGGACCAAACTTGCTTTCATGCTTATGTCGGTAAAACACAAGCTGGCCAAGGATCAGCTTTCTGATGTGAACATCATCCCTGCCTGAGTCCTCGATGTTGAAATTCCACCTACAGAGCGACCCATCTTGCGGTGAAGGCAACGTCAGATTCAGGGCGATGGCACCGTAACGACAAGCAACGGGCCACAACTCGGGACGGATCGAAAACCCAGCTTCAAGGAACGATGATCTCACACCTTCTTGGAAAGTCCTAATCTCCCGCTCAAGTTGAGCCTTGTGGGGAAAGCGATTAGGCAATGACGGCGAGGAGATCCATCCCATTTCTTCAGCTGCGGCTTCGAATTCATCAGCTGCGTCAGACACTAATGTCACAGGCTTTGAGCAAGCTCTACGTCCAACAAACTTTCTCAGGGCAGTCACAACAGCATTGGTCGAACGATCATTCCCAGGATAAGCTGCAAACAGACCAGTGTACTTGTCCCTCAAGCACAACACAACATAGGACTTGTCCGGAGCATCGGAGTCGTCTGGCGATCTAAACACGTGAATGTGATCAGCGGCAATGACTTCTCCAAACTCTAAAGCTTCGAACGGATCAGGTTCTTCCTCGGCATCACGAGGCTTTCTGCGCACGCGCCTTGAAAGCATGCGAGCTTGATTACATATGTCACAGAAAGGATTCTTCGGGAAGTGAAAGAACCTGTGCTCAAGCGACATGGCCTGATCTCTGAGCTTCCGAATCCTTTCGGGAACCTTATCCTCTGCTCCATCATCCTGTTCAGCTTCACCTACACCTTCCGCAGATGCATCAGCGCCAGGCCCTTCGGGTGGCGCATCAGCAGCCGAACCCTCGGGAGCCTCAGCAGCATATGCTGGCAAAGGCTCTTCACAAGAGTCGATTGGGAAACCCAGAGCACGGAGCTCTTCACAGTGCGAATCTTTGACTTCAGAAGGATGCTTTGCAGAGAACAAGACAACCACAACGCGATCGCCTTTCCACGGCATCGTGGCATGGATACGGCTCTTAGCCCGGAACCGAATGACCCCGTTCTTGAAACTAAGAACCTTTCCAAGCTTTTCAGGGTCACCAGGACACGGAGTTGTCCCCCCTGATTCTTCAATCCATACGCCTCCTCCTGAGAACCCACCTAAGGAGATGACGGCATTATCAAGGTTGGCATTGTGGAAGTCTTTGTGAGGACCCGTCGCAACGTTGCTGAAAACGCAAAGGGTCGTATATCCGAAGCTGGGAAGCTTCGAACATGCAAACTTGTTGAGAGCTTTGGTAACCAAAGGAAACCGGTGGGCGGAAGTCCTAAGTCCAAGATTCCCGCCCAACCGATAAAGTCCAGTTGAGAACGATTCCCCATGATCACCTCTAGCAGCAGGTTCCTTGTCAACCAAACCGAACAAATTGCGAACCGCACGACAGCTGATGTTGCCGCCAGAGCTCAACATTTGCCGGGCTCGTACTTCAGCCGGATGGTGCTCTGAGCTTTGGATGGCGCTTGGGATAGCAGCCGGACCCGCGCTCTCGAGCCCCCCTGAAAGGTCACTTACAGGGTTTGGTGCCCCATGAGTAAACCTCACCTGACTGGTAAAAATAGGAACATGCTCTTCAACGCGAGTTGCATAATGTCTGTACTTCTCAGGACATTGAACAACGAGTTGCGAAACGTCACTGACGAAGAAAGGCAAACTACCGGGCAGCCAGATGAAGGCCTTCCCAGAATCAACATCAATCCCTGTGCTTCTGACCAAAGGGCAACTGTCTAACATGTAATGATTAGCAAAATCCATGTTGTCAGACTCGAAGCCAAGGGTCTGCACACCAGGTTGGGGACCACCGCCGGTATGAAACGTCACGGGAGACTTAGACGCACCTAAGAACCGATCATAGGCGTCACGCGGAATCCCTTGGTCAAACAAGGCTTTGGCCGAACCTAAGTGACGACCAGCAGCAGTATCAGCGGCCCACTCAACAGCATAGGATGGACCAGCAGAGATAACAGGAGTACACAAGCTAGAGGCAGCAACAAGCGCGACGACAGCTTTGGCTACTGCTCCAGGTTTGCTCTTGGCTCCATCTTTGGCTTTGGCTTTCGACTTCGGCGGAGCAGCCTTGTGACTAAACTTACAATTATCTCCATGAATGCAACCCGACGGCATCTGGAAGAAAATGCAAGGCGTCTTGGCTTTCTCAGCATCAGTCATGGCTTTCGCCTTAGCCTTAGCCTTTGATTTGGCTTTCGCATTTGCATTGGGCGCTGGGGCGCCAGGAGCAATCGGTGGAGGGGGAGGATCTGCCTTGGGCAAAGCACCTTTCGGAGGTGCAGCAGGTGGGGAAGCTTTCGGCTTACCATTTCCTCCATCTACAGCAGGAACAGCCTTCGTTTTCGGAGCAGGTGTGGCAGATTGCAGAGACTTCAGCACAGACTGCGCGTTGGAGTCCTCACGGTCCTGCACGATCAGATCCTGAATCTTATCCCACAAGTAAGACCACTCACGCCTATACGAAGATGCCCCAGATTCCCTGATGTCCTCAATAACGCGCTCAAGCTTGCGAATGTGTTTCACTCGATGGAAGAGCCATTCACCGGTGAGGCGATCATCAGGTCGTTGCCCGACCGGAATTGCACTGAGGACGAGGCGAATACGATTCACAAAGTCTCTCAAGTCCTTTATGGTCTTTCCACCAAGTTCGATCTGAAACAAGGTTGATGCAGTCAGAACAGAACCTCTTACCCGATCGAGGTCGTAATGTCTTGCGATGATAGACAACAACACTCGACCTTTGGGCGATTGGCCAAGTTGACTACACCTTTCAATGTAAGCAGTGATATCTTGCTCAAGTTCAGAGGACTGCTTCAACACACGCCCTGATGACAGCTCACCAGCTATCCATGCATCGAGACGAGGAAGAAGCTCCGAATCTTGCAAGTCAGCTCTCTCAGCATCAAAGCCTCTGGAAATCCAAGCCAACACAAGACCTTGACCAGAAGTATCAAGCTTGGACAACTGAACCTTGAAACCGTTCTTCCAAGTTCTGAAGCTTGCCGCATCTGAAGGGACAGGTTCAACCTTGAGATGTAAGAGAGCCCTTTGATCAACAATGTCCTTTTCCCGAAGCTCTTTGGCAGCTTCTTGATCCTCAACTTCGTCATCTTCATTGGTCTCAACAGTACCCGTAGCATTTTGACCGACCTGTTGGACTAACTGTTGGACTACCTCAATCAGCTGGTCCACGCGAGGGTCTGAAACAGGAGACGTGGGTTGAGGAGGAGCAGGACATGAAGGTGCGGGCGGAGGAACAAAGGTACCCGGGTACAGCACATGCTGAGCGGGAGGATCGGAAGCTTCAAGGTGAGTCCATGACGCTTCACTAGCACCAGATCCGGAACCGCCTAGCGGAGCATGGGGTTTCGGTGGCTTAGGAGGAGATCCGGAGGTCGAGGCGCATGGAGCAGCCGACCGAAGCCTCTGAATCTCTCTCTCCTTGATTTGGCACTCTACCCGGACTTGATTTAGTTGAAAATTCAACATATTCAACTCCGCCTTTGCCTCTGCGAGCTGACGTTCAACGTATTGACCGTACTCAAACAATTCCCCACATCGAATCTCCGAAAGCCTAAGCTGTTCCCGAAGCTGATCAACAGCAGACCCTGCTTCGGTCAACACGTCCCTGACTTGGCCTTGTACCTCACTGATAGAAGCCTGGTGTAGCAGCTCCGCCTGAGCGGCGACTCGATTGGCAGCTTCACCAGCAGCAAATTGCTGAGCAGCAAGGACTTGCTGAGGCGTGGCTCCTATGTTGAGCATCTGGTTATGAACAACAGTAGGAATACCAGACTCGTCGAGAGGGGCATTGACAGCTGGGTACGGGGCTGAAGCTTTCCTGGGAGTCCGAGCTAAGGCCCTTCGGTTGGCAGGAGGTGAGCGTTCGCGTTCAACCAAGGCTGAACTACTCTCTGAACCACCCGAAGCACAAGAGGAATCCCTCATACCCGGAACCGCGGCTGCTGAGGCACTGGAGATGTCAAGCAATGAGCTTGGATCAGTTGGGGTTGATTGAGATTGTGACATGATGACAGATGTGCGCTAGCAGGAAGGCAGGTCAGTGGCGCGATGCGCCGATCAGACCACACAGATATCCCCGGTCAGTGGCGCAATGCGCCTAACAGACCACACAGAAGTACCCTGAAGCCTGAAAGTAACCCTAAACCAAACTGCCGAGGACAAGGTGGTGGCGCAAAGCAGCCTTTCACACCAAGTCCGAATGCACACGCTGAGCACTTCAGCCAGAGATCCAATTCAAAATGGAAGGTTCCGCCTCGAAAATCGAGGAAAAGGAACGACCAATTGACGGCAGATCCCGCCGAGGCAATTGGATGTGAAACGCAGCAGCGTTAGCCGATCTGTTCCACTCCTCACAGATCCCCGTGTTATCGTCTATTATCAACAACGATGGCTGCTGGAAAAGGCGTCGACAGATGTCAAGCTTTCCGAGGCGTCCTGTGCGGGATCGAGTGATGATGACTAAATCGGCTTGGCGTTGACCAACAGATTGTATAAAGGTGTTTCGAAGGGTGTCCAAGGCCCAATCCTCGATGCTCCTGGATCCCTCACCAATGTGGGAACAAATCACCACCAATGCTCCCGCCTCCTCTGCAGCTCTGTGGACACGCCTAAGAAGACCCTGAACGTCCGAGAGCAACTCCGGTGCCTCGTTCGGGTAAGGGATCTTATACTGCTGCTTCCGCTGTCCAACGCGAGGTGCCCAATAATATCGGTCAATCACGTTGTGAAAATCAAACACGACGACCTTGCCCTCAAGCCGCTGGCTATCTTCGACTCTGAAGTTGCACCTGCTAAAAGTGTCTGGTGAATACAACAAGACGCTCCTCGGTAGGTCAACAATAGGATCTGAAGTGAGGGCTGACTTCGGCGGCACCTTCGGGATCACTGCAGCCTGACTCTCCTGACTCGCTGGAGGCTTCGGTGGATTCTTGGGAGGAGTCTTCGGAGCAGTAATCTTAGGATCAGGAGGATACGCCGGCGGAGTCGGAACAGACACCTTAGGCACCGCCGCAGTCTTCGCTGCGGGAGTAATCCTCACCTTCGGCGTAGGGGCCAACCGTTGTCCAGAAACTGAAGCTGTAACAGAAGGCGCTGAAGATGATACTTTCGCCGACGGACCCTGAGAAGGTGCTATAGCCACTGCGCTCGCCGATGACGAAGACGACGGCCGCACAGGCGGCGCAGGAGGAGCAGGTGGCGTGCGAATCCTATGATATCCCGGCACTGCCCCTGACGCCTTTGGAATGAGTGGCGGCTCCTCTGCTTCTATTTCAACCTCGACCAATTCTTCCTCGGGCTCGCTGTCGGATTCAAAGATGGGTCGCCAACCCGGCTTCGAATAAAGCGGCCGCTGACTGCCGTCGGAGTGACGGACTGGTACGTCGTCTAAGGAAGTATATCGGAACGTATGAAGATTCAGCTGGTACTGCTGGTACGCTTTACGTTTACGTACCGCACTTTTCCCAGCTCGGATCCCACGTGGCCTCGGAAGGATCTCTGGGCCACGATCTGGGTCCGGTGCATCCATGGAGCGACTTACGCTCTAAAGGACTTCACCAAACCAAAAGGGAAGAACGAACACTACGGCTGATAACCAGTTATTCTGACCCCAAACAGAGACAACGCTATGTCAGGGTAAGAAAGGAGAGGAAGGGAAGGGAAACCCCAAAAGAAGGACCCTGCCCTGAACGTGAAGGCACAGCTCAGCGGCGCCTTTTTCATCTTGAGCCAAAAGTCGATGGCGTACTTAAGGCTTCAGAAGTTACATAGTCAGGTTACACTTCTTTACATGGAGGTTGTTCGTAAATCTTCAACTCCTACATCCTGAATTCCTAGTATAGGGGCCTGAATAAACAGAGTGGGGTGTCTTAAGGCCACTATATTACACCTTCAAACCCTAATCTTAGGGATACTTTGAAATAACTTTGAACTTTTGGTTATTATAATCCCTAAGAAACAGCCAGAATTACAATTTTTGCCAGGGTTCTAAGTTCAGTATAGTAATTCCGATAGCCAATGTACCAAGCAATGGCTTCCTCGGGCTCCCAGGCCGTTTGCCAGAGACTCGGCCCGTCCCCAACGCCCTGAACCTCGAAGTGCCAGACCCCTACCCATGACAAACGCGCATACCCTCATACCCCACTTGGAGAATCATGGGACTTAGTAAGTAAGGTTATAAGTACCCTAAACGGGGTTATGAGTAGCTATAAGTAGAGTTACCCTAATTATAACCCTAGTTACTAAGTTCATGATCATTTAAGCAACAGCCCTAAGCACAAACACAATGAACCCTAAAGCCTCAAAGCCCTGAACAATAAAACTCTGGAGCCCTGCCTCCTAAACTCCCTGAAGCTAGAAAAGTCTAGAAAAGATGTCGCCAAACCCTAAGCCCTAAACCCTCTCCCAACCTCTAACTCCTTGGGAAAAAGTCACAGCCCTCCACCGGTTAAGGGTGTAGGGTTTTCTATTTGGCTCTGAGGTCGCGTCCTGCTCAGACAGGCGGATATTCAGCTGGGAGGGTGGGTTTCGGAGTACCCATAAGGGGCTCGCTGGGGTATTTGAAGGTTTTGTAGTAGAGTTGCAGAAGTTTTGTTTTTGCGAGGATCTTATGTGGCTCTACCGAGCTGTTAGTTTCGTAAGGCATAGTTATAGGTTTGATGCAGAAACCCGATCAAGATATGAGCGGCCTTTGTTTAGGTTTTGAACATGGGTACTGTTTGAGGGATGTAAACGCACAGCTTCCAAAATGAACCCTGAGCCCTGAGGGCCTGCAGCTGTGTGTAGGATTTCAGGAGGTTTCAGGGAATGGGGGTTTGGGTTTAATATAAGGGCCTAAATAATTAGAATAGAGCTGTGGGGATTCTTCACTTTAATTATCGTAAAAAAAAAATCACAAGCCCTATTAAAAATTATTAATGCCCCTACATAAGGGGTTGGGGTGCGTCTGTAGTCTTACAGCCGAGCGGGTGGATAAGAAAGTATTTTAGGGCCGGACAAAAACGGCGTAGCACCCTGACCCGGACCCCAAAATGAAAACCGTAAACCCCAGGCCCTAAACCCTATACCCTAAACTTTAGACCCTATACCCTATACCCTAAACCCTAAGGCCTTGGCTCTGAGCCCTAAACCCTCTAAGCCCCAAGCCGTAAATCCTAGGACCCCAACAGCCGAGGCCCGATCCTCAACCTTGAAATCCCCCCAAACCCGCAAGGAAAACCCTATAGGGTTTTTGTAGGGTACCTTTTAAGGGGTCTGTAGGGTTCCTACCGTTCCTTTAAAGATTCCTTTAAAGGGGTCTATAGGGTTTTTAGGGTTCCTTTAAAGGGGTCTATGGGGTTTAGGGTTTAGAGTTTCCGAAAATGGAGGGTACCTGATTTTGGGGTCCCTGTAATGAGGATCCCCCTATCTAGGGTACTAGATAACAGTCACTGTTTTCGGAAGCCCCCTTATAGATTCGTGCAAACATCACTGGAAAAGCTTTCGCCAAAAGAGACTCCAGGCCCAAACGTTCAGCATGGACGATCCCTTTGTGGATTTGAGGTTGATGTCTTTGCGAGTTTAGGCTTTAGTTTAGGGTTTGGGGGCGTCTTGAAGCTGAGTTTGCACGGCTGCTTTAGGTGCTTGTTATCAGCCCTTCCACGAAAGGCTAGGCGTTGAAATTCGGGACCTTGGAGACGATTCGCAGACTACTGCAGAATCTGGCCTCGTGCACTGCAGAATCTCACCCTAAACCCTAAACCCTAAACCCCAAAAAGGGCCCCAACACACTTTAAGACAAACGAAAACCCGAACCCTACAGCCCCAAAGCCGACAGCCTCAACCTGAACCCTGAGCCCACAGCCTTAAACCCTGAAGCAGCAAAGGCCCGACCCCCCACGTTCGCTGCGCTGAGTGCACGTACGGATGATGATGAAATAAGTCCTGCATTTCCCTCAAGGACCCTAAACTATGGGAATTATAGTATATTCCTTATTATGGGTACTGCCGGATTTATATCCCTAAACCCTAAGCCCTAAAACCCTATAGATCCCTTAAAGGAACCCCTGAAAGGTACCCTTATAGATCCCTCTAAAGGAACCCTAGGATTTATATCATCAACCGTAGGTCGGAACCGGCCCTGGAAGAGCCAGAAGAGATCGAGGAGGAGTTTGGTCGGCCAAGTTCACGAGGTTTTAGGGTCTAAGGGGTTTAGGGGTTTAGGGTTTAGGGTTTAATGGCGGGTTTAGGGTTTAGGGTTTAAGGGGTTTAGGGGTTTCTGGGTTTCGGGTTCCTTATGATGATTGTGGTATAGTATACCCCCAAACCCTATTGTAATTATCAAGGCCTCTAATTATCTTAGCTCTTGGGCTTTGCTTCGGGGTTCAAGCGTCACTGAGTTGGGGTTTGCAAAGTTGGGTGTTTCGGAATGTAGGCTTGAGTCCAAACCCTAAACCCCGAAGCCAACACTGAAATCTTAGTTCGCGCTTTTTGGGGTTTGGGTAGCTCCTGCGTGGTGCTTTCTGGGTCTTGCGCATTGTTCACACAGATCTGACTGGTCTTTTTTGGTAAAGTGTGTGGACGTCCCGTAACGGTATGGGAATATGCACTTCTTCGGACTGTTCATTGCATCAAGGGCTCTCACTTAAGACAATTCTTCGAATCTGCGGCATAGGGTCCAAAGCGTTCGAGCAATAGTTCTTGGGGCATTTGGAAACAGTTTTGACGTAAGTGTTTTTTGGGCGGCAGTTTCAAGCATGAAACCTCAACCCACCCGACAAACTCAAAGCTGCAGCCTCCACCAGAACAGACCTTGTATTAGAAGCCCTTGAAACCCCATTAAGAGCTGACGACCGTCTAGGATTTGGGTTTCAGGGATGTTAAGGCCGGTTTAAACTCGCGGATAAAGACACCTGTGTAAGTCAAGAGAACTTTGCAACTGCCAGGGTCGTTAGCAGTTAGCAGCCCCCCGTCTAGGCCGCCGAAAGAGTATGTCAGCCTTGTTCTACTAAGAAGGGAATCTTAATGTGGGTAGTTGTCAAATTTATGGCCCCCTTTTGGGTACCCTAAATATTAGGTGCCGTATTATGTTAAGGACCCAATAAGGGACCCATGTGGAGGTCTGCCCTAAGTTGGAGAGCTGCCCCCATGCGATCCTTCGACCATCCTTGACATCGCCCGCATATTCAGTAAACCCTAAAACCCAAACCCTACACCCTAGACCCTAAACCCTAAAGCCTAAACCCTACACCCTAAACCCTAAGCCTAAACCCGCAACCTCCCCGTAGATGCCATGAGAGCCCCGCTCGAACATTCGCGAGGAGTCCTCGCTGTCAAAAGCAGGCCGGCCAGAAGTTTCCGGGCTTCGAGCGTCATGCTATCGGCATCTGACAAATAGGGTTTAGGGTTTAGGGTTTAGGGGCTTAGGGTTGATGTCTAGGGTTTAGGGCTTAAGGTTCAGGGGTTTGGGGTTTAGGGGTTTAGGATTTATACAGGGTTTAGGGTTTAGAGGAATCGGCATGTGGTAAACAGGGACATATCAAACATAGGGGCGCCCAAACATGTAGAAGAGTGTCTTCTTGAGAAAAGAACCAAGTGCATATGCAGACGCAGAAGTGCATGAGCTTTGCGGGTGCCGTTGCAACCTGAGGCAGAACCCCCCCTAAACCGCTCCGCCCTCAACCCCCTTCCACCAGCTACAACCCCAGCGAGTCCCAACCAAAGATGCCAATTACTAGAGGGGTCCCGTGGTGGCGAAGGGTCCAAGGGAAGAAGGGTGAGCCTACACACCGACGCCACTACGCCCGCTTAACTGCTACCGAAGAGTCCATGAACAGGGTTTGCGAGGGTCCGTGGCGTTCCAAAGCTCACAACAGGGTTGCATGGGCAGGGTTGAGGGATCGGCGTGGTTCGACGCAAACGTCGCTGTGCCAGAAGTCGCAAACCTCGGGCCAGCCGGGGTTCAGCGGGTGGAGGCCTTCTCCGATGCCATTGCTTCTGAAGGCACCAAACTTGGTGCCTTTGGGGCACCCTTGCGGAGGAAGATGATGTCGTTGCTGACGACAGGCATCCATGCCGACTACCCCGGCCCCGCATTGGCAGGTAACAACCTGACAAATGCGGAGGCCACCGCGGTCATAAACGCGTACAAGGCCCACCTGGAAGGGATCGACACTGGCGAGATCTCTTTGGGCGCACGCGCCAAATTGGCTGGGACCATTTTGGGCAATCTGCCTGAATAGGTCCCCAAAGGGGCCGTCAAGATCCCAGAGATCTTTCAGGCTCAGACGGTTATCTGCAGGTTTGAAAGATGAAGGCCCCCATGTTAAGCTAGCATATCCAGGAATTCATCTTCTTTGCCCCATCTCTTCGAACTAAGCTCCCGCGCGCCAGAACCGAAAAGCTCCAAACCCCAAACTCTCGACGCCTGAAATCAAACACTCAAACACATGTCTCTGGAAGCTTCAGAAACTACTAAGCAGTGTATAACATTATTCCACATACTAGGGTCATAGTTTTCAAGCAGATTCGGGCTTAAAGTTAAGGGCTCGG